AGGGCAGACTCAGTCAAGTTGAGAGTTGCAGTGGAGAAACTGAAGCAACCATGTAGAACAGAGTCTTGACCTGGCTTCAGTCGGCTTTTAGAAGGTCCATGAATGAGCTTCGGTAGGTTCACAAAACCCTGAAATTGTTTGCAAAATTTTATGTATCTATGTGCATCTTCTTGGAGAAGAGCGTCCATAATTGCCTTAAGATTCTTCCAAGGGTCTTAGATGTAAAGAATTAAGGAAAGTTAATCTGGAGGAAGGAGCGTCTGGGTGGTACAAATAGTTAAGCACTCGACTACTAATAGAAACGTTGGTGGTTCAAACCCACCTATAGGGGCCTTGGAAGAGAGACCTGGAGATCCGCTTCCAAAAGGTCACAGCCTTGAAAACCCTATAGAGCAGTTCTATTCTGCACACATGGAGTTGCCATGAGTTGGGATCAACTCTATGGCAACTAACAACAACGATGTGGAGGAAGCATTAGAAATGATTCCTTACATCAGCGACAGAGATCAGCAGGTGGAACTCACAGTAAAAAAAGATAAAGTATAACCTCACAATTTTTCCTATTTGAAAGCAGCCAATTTTAGAGTTCAGTGGGGGACCAAATTCTTCTTTTCAGATTTCAAGTGTTTATGTATTATTGTCAAATACTGTTCTACTTTAAAAAATCAAAATCTTGCTTTTCTGTTTTACATTGTTCGATATATTATAAAATAGATATGAAATATACTTATGTATTATTAAATATACTTATGTATTAATAAATGCAACTTACATATTATTAGTTTTTGATGATCAGTCCTTTTCTTGGTGAAATAAAGCACAAATTGCTGAGGGTCCTCTAGCACCAGGCGTACAGTTAAGCTACCTGGAGAACGTAGATGTACGTGACATGGTTCTGACCCTGGACTGTGTACTTGCGAAGCACATAACCAAATGTCTACAATTAAACTTTATAAACAATGGCCAGTTAGCATTTTCTTGCACTAGTATTTAGTTCTCAAAAGTAATTTAACATAAGTCATTTATTACTTAGATATTATACAAAAAATATTTTCTATTAAAAAAAATCCCAAATTTAAAAGAAAACAGGGAAGAGCAATTGTTAACCTGCATTATAAATGTTAGAGTCATTTTTGATTTATGCCAGTTTATCCTGATATCATGAACATATAGAGAGAATAAAAGTATGGACCAGCAAAGGAAATCCAGTTCATTAAAAGAAGAAAATAATTTCATTTAACTTTCCCCACCCTTTACCGAAGACCTCATTTTTGAATAGCGAAAGTTGATCAATTAAATAGAATTTACCCACTGATTAAATAATCTGGAAACTTTGCTTGCTTACCTGAAGTGGCCAGCGCTCTTGCTGGAATTCTATTCTGGACGTTTCAGGTTAAAAATGGGTGTGGATTTATAGACACACACACCTGACCTACAGCCCCACCTGCACAGTCACCTGCCAACTTATAAAAATAGGCTTGTCTGAAAAATTCTACTTCTTTCCAGTTCTCAGGATTCTCATGCTAAAAAAACTCTTCTGTTTTTCTCTAAATTAAGATTGAGTGTCCTCATAAAATGAGGCCAAACATCATCGCTGGGCTTTTTTTTTCCTCCACCTTTTACTTTGCAAGGTAATTTAATGTTTGGCTGTGGTTCAACATCAAAAAAAAAAAAAAAAAAAAGCAGGAGAAGAAAGAAACCAGTATGAAAGTAGGAACTGTGTGTACACCATTGTTCTTGATGAGAGTTCACTGAGCCTTGCAGATTAGATATAAAGCAAACAGGAATTCCTAAGGTTATTCTGTCTATGCAAATATAATTAACAGATAAAGAGAGCAGGTTTTTTTTTTTTTTTGAGAGAAGGAAATAAAAATGCTGTTTTAAAATTCAACATGTCTATAATTTGATTATTCTTTACAGTCTTTCTATAAGATCCTTACCTTACTAGGCAAAAATAGGATAAGAGGCAATTAGATAAATTTGTTTATATTAATCTAAAAGCTAGATTTTAAAAATTTACAATTAATACATGACTGTGGTAAAAAATATTTTTAAAGTCTAGAGTTGTGTTAAAGTAAAATTATAAAAATTTTCTTCCCCCTTCGCCAGTACTGCCTCCTCCCTGCCTCCTGTCCTTTCTCCCCCTCCCAACCACACATCATGTTCCGCTTTGTGAAATTAATACAGTTAAAATGATCTAGGGCAGGGGTTGCCAAATCTGGCCCACCTGTTTTTGTACAGCTTGATTGCTAAAAATGTTTTCTTACATTTGTAAATGGTTGGGGAGGAATATTTTGTGACATGTAAAAATTATATGAAAGTCAAATTTCAGTGTCCATAAATAGAGTTTTACTTGAACGCAACCAAGTTCATTTGTTTATATATTGTCTATGTCTACTTTCGCACTACGACCGCAGAGTCGAGTAGCTGTGACAGGGATTGTATGACCCGCAAAGCCTAAAATATTTACTATCTGGCTCCTTACTGAAAATGTTTTCTGATACCTGATTTAGGGTACTGTTCAATACATTTTTGTTTTCTCATATCTAATTGATCTGAATAAACTAACAAAGGCACTGCTCAAGAATGAGGGTGATGGTTATTAACCTGTCTTGATCCTAACATTAAAGGGAGTGCTTCTAGTGTCTTAACTTCAGACATTGTGCTAGCTTTGGTTTCTCATGTTAAGAAAGTAGCCATTACTTTTATATTGTATCTCTTCAACTCAACAGCAATGGTTTTTTTTTTTTTTTAAAGCAAGAATGTTGAATTTTGCTGTATAGAGATGGATATGTGGATTTTCTCATATGATACATGAACACAGTAAATTTAATGGTTTTTCTAATTGAACTTTCTTTGTGATCCAAGAAGAGTCCCCGGGTGGTGCAAATGGTTAATGTGCTTAGTGGATAACTGAAAGTTTGAAGGTTCAAGTCTAACCAGAAGTGCCTCAGAAGAAAGGCCTGGCAATCTACTTCCAAAAAATGAGTCATTGAAAACTCAGTGGAACACAGTTCTATTCTGACACACATGGGGTCACCATTGACTTGGCATTGACTTGATAGTAACTTTTTTTTTGTGTGTGTGTGATTCAGAGAGAAACCCCACATAGCCATCTGTATTATTCTATTATGGTACTATGATTCGTGTATTTGTCTAATTGCACTTTCTTTGTTATACAGGATTCTCAAAGAGAATCTTTCCTGGAACATGCTATTTGAGTGGAATCCTTCCTGCTGAAGGTTAAGAAGTTTGACTTAGAATTTTAATCTTAAATCCGGCACTTACAATGCAAAGAAACAGCTGGGCAGTAATCCATAAGTTTTCTTTCTTTTTTTTACTTTAACATAGGTTTTCTTTTTACCGGGAAAGGTGAGAAAGCTCCAGTTTGTTCTCCACTGGGACTGATTTATAGAAAAATCACAAAATATTCTGAAATTCCTGTTAAAATCCTTCCATATTATCTTCCATATTACTCCTTCTGTATTATTAGTAGATAAGATGAGAATGAGAAAGAAGATGTCAAGTATCTAAGGGATAGTGAAACTAGATCCCATGATGTCTGAGCAGACCAACTCTACTGGTTCTCTCCCACTAGAGTTACTTTGTAATTTATTCTCTAACCAGGACAATTTTGAGAGTATAAGGAGGTAATAGAAGTCAATTAAATTATATAATATTTTGAAGTATATATTTGTTGGCCAAGACTGGTTTTATTCTATGATAGATTATAAATAGTTCTATTAAAAATGATTTTCAAAAGCAGAAAATTAAAATATATTTATATGCATTTTGGAAAAGATTTAAAGAAAATCTCTTGGTATATATTTACATTAATCTATTTCTTAACTATATTTGTCTCATATCACGTTGCCAGTGTTTTGCTGAAGATTTTTCTGGTATTATCTATATTTTTTCAATGTGATCTTATTTTTATTTTTTCATAAAATTGCTTACAGTGATCTTCAAAGTTGGGTTTATGGTTAGTATATATGGAATTGTCAACAGCTTCTATTGGCACTTCATTGTAGACAATAATATTTGTCATTAAGAAAATACCCTCTGCACAGGTGCTGG